AACTAAAGGGCTATTGATGACTATCAAAACGCCTGCCATTAGATGTAACTAAATAAATAAATAAATGTACTTAAAATCGATTACCTTGATTAGGTTTAAAACCACAAAATCCCAGCCTTAGAAACACCAGTTCTGAAATTCTTCTACTTTTTAAAGGTCTTAAAAGTATTAACCCTAATTTTGTAAGTGCTACGAAAAAAAGTGCTTTAAAGTAGCCGAATTAATGCCTTTTTTGATACAACAAAACTAGCATTATTGAATGCAATTGCATCTTTTTGAAATTTAATGACTAATTGGGGGTTTTATTGTAGTTTAGAAAGACTGATAAAAAGTCAAGATATGCGACGGCTACGTTTGCGTTTACGAGTATAATGAGAAATAGTTAGATGAGATATGTTACTCTTACAGGTTCCTTCATTCCTGATGGTGCTGGTTCGATTCTGAAAGTGTACAACGAGGCGGAGAAGATGTGTCTGGAAGCCCTTTCCACAGACGTACTTCGCCCCTACGTTCCCGAATTCTTGGGGGAAATCACAACTTTAGACGGAAAACGTAATCTTTTTGCCATTTCCATCACTCGCCTTATCCTTATTCTCTTTTTCAAAGCCGCCGTAATTTTCACTCTTCTAACGCGGGGGAGATAGGTGAGAACAATAATTCCGGAGAGGTTGTGATGAAGTAACTGTAGCATTATCCCAACTTGTTGACTGATTCCGTTGTAAACATACATCTGATCCTCAGTAGCCATGGAGAAGAGTAGTGAAATCTCCCAGAAGTGGGTCAGTATGGTGCTGACAACCATTGGTACCGTGCACATTGAAGGCGACATCCAGCTTACAAGTGTTTCGTGTCCATCATGCTCCTCAAGGCCAGGTTTAGGCCACATATTCGTCCAATCATCTGCTCGCATTACATCACCACGATTTACTATCCATCGTATCATACTGATACAGCAGATGGACATCATAAGCATACAGATAAAAACTGAGAACCCAATCCATAGATAAGCTTCCGCATAGATTGCCGTGAATACAGCAGAAGTTAGAGCAAACGGTGCACATTGGCATACTCCCGGTTTGTCAACATTTACACTTAACGGTCTAACGCTACTGAAGATTAAAGCGAGCACCGTGATTAGAGTGTAGTAGTCACGAGTTCTCGAATCCTCCATTGTGAAGCGTAAACTGAATTTATGGGTCAGTTCTAGCGTTCGGTCGATTATGAAGAGAGTGGTGTTCATGAAGTAGAATCGGCCAATAAGGGTATGGGGAAAGTGGGAATACCAGACCAAGCAGGCAACTTGGTTTATACCCTCTTGGTACCCTTCAGGAGAAATCCAATTTTGTGGAACCACCACAATATCAACGAACCATATCAGACAAAACAGACCCCCTAAAGTGTGCTGTACGGCTAGAAGTAGTAGCCCAGTGGGTTTCCTCGATGTTAGGTGAAAGAGTATGGAGGCGATAATTAAGGACATTGCAATTCCTGTGGAGGAAAGAAAGATGGAAATCAGACGCAATGGGACATTGAAATTCCCAACCTCACACGTCCATAGTTGGCGACTTCTGTACATAATCTGCGTGGGGTGTTTGCGAAGGTAGGATTAGCTTGTTTATATATGTACATGTATACGCATGTATTGGGCGTTTCAGTCAATGATTTTATGCGTTTTAAATTGAATTTACAAGTTGACTCCCAAAGAATCTTTGGTATAGTGTTAGGCTAGTAATGGTGGTGTTGGGGGTGATGGTGGTGGTGGTGGGGGGGGGGGGGGGGGGGGGGGGGGGTGGAGATTATCCTTTCTGCCTTTGGGATGATCACACCTTACCATTAACTCCTTCTTCCACATTCTGCCTTAATGGAATGGAAGCTAAGTGGCTGAAGTTGTGAGACACATAGTCTAATACTCCACTTTAGAGTTTTTGCTGACTTCAAAATGAAACAAATATGTCGACCAACATCACCCTTCTATTCGGTCTCCTGAGGTTTTTTTGCGGTCTTTTTCAAGTTCAATTTTACTTATCATAATTGAACAGATAGTTTAGTACACTATTATAATTTACTCATGGGGTGTGTGATAGCTTTACCTCCACCCTGGGGAACGTATACTCATTCGGCAAAAATATCTATTAACCGGCAGTTGACTTCTGACTTCTAACTACCGTCAGCCCATTGTACGTCATATTCCACCACTTTCACAGTAATCACCTCACCTTTTCCTCTACCTTTGTGTCTGTCTCTTTTTCATCTTCGAAACACTCATCTGTTCCCCCCCCCCCTCGACTTTTTCACTTTGACGTTTCTTCCCCTCTGTGAAGCCTGAAGTCAACTAAAGGGCTAATGATAATTATCAAAACGTCTGCCATTTGATATAAATAAATAAATAATCTACTCATGTAATAAAAAGGACCGTGGAGTGTTGCATCGTGAACCGTCAATAATATCCAATTCCTTGGTTGACGTATCCGAATGGTGATTGGTTACGGTAGATTGCCACCTGTACACGCTTTGGCAACCCGACTGGAATACGCCTATCCACTTTGCTGATTGATATCTCTAGCTGAATGAATTTGTGGACAGGCTACAGAGCATGCAATTCTTGGTTCAGTGGAATTTTTTCGATAATCTGAATTGAAGACGGGTGATGTCAATCTTGCTCCATTATTTCATGGGAGCCATAAGTAAAAATTGCATTCACGGACGATATTGTCCCTTATCATTCCATTAGTAAATTATTAAAGCATTATTCTATGTGCTACATCTCTTAACATTGGGAAGTTAATCTCAATCACAGTTTTTAAGACTTTTCACTTACTATTGTTACAAATGCTCTGTTAACTTCCTTGCCTCCTAATCTGTGCCTTCGGACAGGCTTCGTGAGAATGCAGGATCTCTTGCATGGCTTCGAGTCTCCCTCCATAATGGACGTGAAGATGGGTCGACGGACGTTTATGGAGGAGGAATGGCAAGCTCTGCACACCGGTTCCCTCAATTTGAGACCAGTAAGTAGTGCTCAGTGGTATTTGATAATCGCCCAATTAGTATATTACTATATAATTTAGATTTTTACTTAACCCTCTAAGGTCTTTACGACCTTATGGTCCACTTTTAAAATAAGCTGCATTGTGGTACTGGACTCCCAATAGAGGGCCCACTATTGCCGTTGGAAACATGTTCAATACGTGTCTATATAGCCTTCACCTGATACCATCATAAGTCATCACTTCGACGGCATTAGTCTGCTAGGGGGTTAAGTGTTTCTATATGATGTCGTTTTGAGAAAAAAATTCTCTCTAATTCCGATATTAAGGCTACTTTAACTCACTTACCACATCCGACTTGAAAAATAAAATCCGCATTCAAAAGTAATTATTCCAAGAAGTGGTTCATTTGACATACGTAGTCAGATGACAGAGGAAGGAATACACGGCCAGAATGGTGTCCTAACGTAAAACAGCACTTTTGCAACATAGGTATTTTATGATTCGAGAAAGTTCTAGAGAGTTACCTTTCTGGGCTTAATACAATTGAATAAAATTGTTAGTGAAGCACTAAGTCTAGATTAACTATCAGCTTTATATTTTACAAAGTGGTACTTTCACATTAAGTAAGTAATTCATTTCTACTTTTAAAGTTGATGTTGTTGTTGTTGTTGTTTGTATCTAAATCTTGAATTGTGACCTCTACTGTGGTTGGGAAAAATCCGGAGTGAATACGTCTTGACTGATTCCAATATCTCTTTGTGTATTCTACAAAAGAGAAACATTTTACTGACGAGAGAATTCAATCCTACTCGCGTCGCCCGGCTTCTGGGAGTCTGGATGTTGTGGGTTGAAATTCTCACTCGCAAGAAAGTGGATATGCAGTATTGACATAATAATCTATTTTTTGCCTGGGGGAGGGGGGGGGGTCAAATTTTTGAAAAACGCATCCTAAAAGAGCTACCGTAGACGCTTTCTATGGCTTAAATATCTTATTAACTTTGGCGAATCATGCATCTACTTCATTCAACTCGGATATTGATTGCATTGAGAACAAATAAAACGATAGAGGAATTAATTCCTTTTTTCCACCTTAGAAATCCCCCCCCCGTTCCTATAAAAGGAGGCTTGAAATTTATGTTTAAAGATTTCCCCGTCTAAACAAATGCAAATGGATGAACAATTTTACAAAAAATGATATTATAGCTTATAACTACAACTTTCCATCTCCTTGAAATCTATAGAATGGGTAGATGAAATATCGACTTGACAATTTTTTCTGAGGACTTATTATAGATGCTTTGGTGGTATAATCCACTATGGTTTGTGTAGATTGTTTACACGACTATTTTTATAACCAACTTTTTCTTTCTCCGATTCTTTCAAATCTGCCTCTTTCCACTGTAGGATATGTACCAGAAGATGATTGAAGTGGATCCGAACGAGCCGACGCCTTTGGAGCATCAACAGGCTGCAATCACGAAATTCCGCTATATGCAATGGCGAGAAACCCTCAGTTCATCAGCTGACTTCGGCTTTCGAATAGAAGGCCTCAAAGTACGTCTCCCTTTCTATCCCACTTCACAGTCCCTAGCTAGCTGATTTAACTATGGTTGCGCTTAATCGATGTCCCCATCACTATATCCCATTTCTATTTTTTTTTTAAATTTGCCATCCCGTGCAGTACTTAAATAATTCACCAATTGTTCAATAAGATACGATGCCCAAAATGCTTATCACGACAATTAATTTGCGGTAGTCTTAGGTGATCGACTCGTGGCAAAGTAGATATTGTTTGCCAACTAGAAACAGTAGGGTAGTTGATGGTGAAGGGTGAATAGGTGTTGGATGAAATAATCATCTGATTCCTAATTTCGTCTCCTGGCCGGTTCCTATCTAAGAGGCAGACTTTTTCTATGGCAGGATTCTTTATGCTCCAAAGATTAATTCACAAGATTATGCCCCTGTAATCCTGGTTGGATCGTTTGGGTTCATACACACATACACACACACACACACACACACACACACACACACACACAAGTAATTGCATTGTGGGACTGACTACCTCCATCGTAGTTGGCGGTATAATTGATAGCTCTTAGGAGAGCTGCATATCCACACTCAGGTCCCCATTTGCTCAATAATACTTTTCATTGGTTGGTTTGGGTAGAGTAAATCAGGGTTAATCCTATTTCACCTTGTTATCTCGGGGAGGTTCGTCCAATCCCAGCAGAGTTTCTTAACTTCCTCCTTCTCCTCCTCCTCCCCCCTGCACTCCTCATTTTGAATCCTCCAGGGAAATGAATTTGCAAGAGTTGTGGTAAGTCTTGGGCGTTTTTTGTGCCAAAAAATCCGGTTGAGTTCATCTCCTCTCTCTCTCTCTCACTCTCTCTCTTCCTCTAACTTTTTTCATCGTCTTTATTTTTAACCAACAAAAATGTATTGATGTGTGCTCTAACGTGTTATAGTGGCTAAAATGACGTGAGATTCCAGCTAAAACCTGATTTTCAACTGATTTCAAACCTCTCGTTATTGCAATTATGATTGTTAGAGTTTAAATGTAAAAAAATTCATTAATTAGGTAGAGTCCTGCTATGTGAGTATTTTTTTAAACAGGAAATAGCATCCTTTATCGACGATAATATGTAAAATCATGTGCCTTAACATCAATCGAAATAAAGAAGGTGCAGTGGAACAGCAAGATCCAAGTCTTCTTAATAAATGAATGAATGAATTAATTAATTAGTTAATACTGATCAAATTGTAGTGAACATCGTTGACAAGCATTGGCAACATTGCATCAGACCAATCCTAGAATTTGCATCTTGAAACGTGTACTGTCCGCCTACTACACATTGCTCAATTCGAGCTTCAAAATCAAATGCTCATTGTATCTTTCTGGTCTCCACGTTTCTCTTCTCACTTTTCAGTTACTTCATGTAATTATAATTAACAACCTTCTTTGTGTTACTGTGGGAAATAATAATAATAATAACACCAATTCTTTATCGATAAAAAAAATAGTCCTAAATTTTAATTTGAGTGTGATTTGCTCTTCTTCGTAAAACTTGATTTTAGTCGTTTTTGTTTACTAAAAGAACACAGGTCCGTAATGCAACTCATGTCATTGCTTACTGTCACTGGTTAGGGTTAACACAGTTGTATAGTATAGTGGCCAAATAAGTAAATAGTAAATTTATACCAAATGACAGGCGCTTTGATAGTTATCATTAGCCCTTTAGTTGACTTTGGGCTTCACAGAGGAGTGGAACATCAAAGCCATAAAAGGTCGAGAGGTGGGATAGAAGAGTGATTCACAGATGTAAGTGAAACAGACACAAAGGCCGAGAAAAAGTGAGGTGAGTACTGTGAAAGTAGTCAAATATGCCATACAGTGGGGTCATGGTAGTTTGAAGTCAACTGCCGATTTATAGACTTCTTTACCGTATGAGCATACGTTGCCCAGGACGCACCACGTGGAGGTAAGTCTATCGAGGTTACCGGCAAACGGTAAAAGTGTCGATTATTTGCATGAACTCACGCATCGCATTATGCCATAATTTCCTTTCATAAACATATGTGAATTTTACCACTACTTCATATGCATAACATGAAGTGATTAAGTAATAAAGCGTCATAGCAGAAGTTATCTTGGTTTGATGGTCTTTAAAAGAGTGGAATTCCGAAATTTTATGATAATTTGTAAGTGAATTTGACTACATTTTTTGGGTTGGGGCAACTTGCCACAAAATTGTTTATAGGCCTCGTTTAAGTTGGTTCATGCTTAGTTGTAACAATTTTGTTTATCACGTTCTTGGTTTGTCTTTCCTCCTTTTCTTTCGCCTAATTTCCTGCAAAAGAACGAGGTCAATTGTTAAGGCGTAGAAAATTACCACCCCAAACCCACCCCCCCCCCTACGTGTGACTCATCATTTATAAACGCAGATTAGATCTCCTCTCTGGCAATTAATTTTATTGCCAATTAACATGGCAGATGAGAGGATAAAATTCATCCATAAGTCATTCAGCAAAATCATTTTTCTTTGCATTTACGCATTTTTCGCAACATCTCTTCCAAAATAACTTTGCATTTGTCATTTATAATTAATTTGTGCTAGACTCCAAATTAACCCCCCCCCCCACTCCCCTCCCCCTTCCACTCTCTTGAATTGCTGATTTGTGCGCAGGAACACAATGGGAAACCCACGCGGGACTATAAAAGGCTCAAGGCGTGGTCAGATATCAAGGGATGTCTAAGCAACTTCACCGAGGGCTCGAAGCAGTTGCAGGTGTGGTGGTTGTCTTGTGAAACTTCTAATTGCTTTCAAATGCTTTAACTCTTATTTTTCCAGGCATCTTACTTGAGGAGACTAATTTCAATACAAAAGGCTCTGCAGATCTCTCCCTTTTTCAAGTCACATGAGGTGAGAGGCAAACCATTTTCTTAGCTTCTTTTTTCTTCATTTTTTTTGTGTACTTTCTAAACACGTGGCGAAGTGAGAATAAATGGGGGGGGGGGATAATTTGAGTATCGTTTTTTTTTCTATTTTGTAATTAAGAGGAAGGATCTAAACTATAGTAACAGTAGAAAGGTGATTAAAGAGGAAGGCTTGCCCAATTTGACTTAATGATTGCAGTTCCCTTTCTCAGTCACTGGTTTGGTAAAAGTGGCCAAGGTTTTTAACTAGTTGTTCCAAAATTTTTTTGACTGAAGATTTCTACCAAAATCTGCTGTAAGAGCGACCTCGTGGTCTCTATTGCACTTCTTCATTTCAACGCGGTTTATTTTCACAGCGTTCATTAGGGGGGAGGGAGGAGGGTTGGTATTCATTTTCAATAACATTCTGTCTAATAAGTCCTTTCTAAAATGATCTTCACTTTTTCTTTTCAGCTTCAAGGTAGAATATTTCCTTCATTTCCCGTAAATTCTCTCGTTTTGAGGTGGTAGTTTAGATTTGTCTGATGGTGTCGTTGTGGATCAAGATGCAGAAAGGGAACTAAGTCAAGAGACCTCTGATCTTTTGACTCAGCGTGCTTCCACTTCTTGAGTAACTTACGTCATGCTAACTTCAAATTTTCAAGCCAAAGATTCAATTGACCTAGACGCAGAATGCTTGGTAATGCTCTAGCCTATTTGATGTGAATTTGTTGAGTCCAGAAACTCTCTACTGGTGCCTGAGTAAGCACGTATGCCAGTAAATTGGAATGAGGCGATTACGAGCACTTCCAACCTAAATCCAGACCTCTATTCTACTCTATAGACAAAGGAAATAGTCGTCTGTCCATCCATGGTGATAGCCAAATTCGCATTTTTTTCCCATTTACTTTCTCTACTTTCATAACAGAAGAATGGCAGAATGTACTTTTCTTAGTCAGAGAGGCCATCTCCACTGCCACTGCCACCACCACCATCATTATCATCATCATTGTTTAGAAAATTAGTTATCACGAGATTAAAGAATCGGGGGTCTCAATGACGTCACCTCAACATCCTGCGCTTTTAGAGTATTGGTTTGAGTAGTTAGAAAATGCGTGTATGTACCTCTTGAAAATTTTCCATTTTCACATTCAATTAGAAGCCAATTACTTGCTTCTCTCTATAAGGTATTAGTAAATAAACAAATTAGCCTTAAGGGAAGCGCTAACAATACATTTGTGGAGAATTTCCTAGAATCTCTCTTATGAGGAACTCGGATCTACCTCTTCCTCTAAGGGCTGACTTTTCACGCCTCTTGATGTGCACTAATAAATGTCGATCTTTTGACCTCGGTGTGTGTATGAGAATCCACATCGCTTTTGAGCTACAACTTCGTTGAGGAATTTCAGTTTCTCTCGAAGTTATCTCTTATTTCATTTTCAATTTGCATAAAAATTGTTCATGCTTCGTTATGCAACACCTCTTAAGATATTTTTGTTGATTTTCTTTTTGTTATCTGGTGTTTTTATTACAGGTGATTGGCACTTCACTCCTCTTCGTTCACGACAAGACTGGCACCAAGTCAAATGTGTGGTTAATCGATTTCGGCAAAACCCACCCCTTACCTCCAGGCGTAGAGATCGATCATCACGCCACCTGGGTGGCGGGCAACCACGAAGACGGCTACTTGTTTGGACTGGAGCGTCTCATCGACGCATTCACTGAAGTATTGCGGGAGGTTGTTCCGCTGCCCTCCACAACACCCTGTGTTCCGTCTGCTTCGTCTCTCTGTGCTCCCTTGTTGAGAAAACCGGCCATTGTTGTGGGCTGTGAGAAGGTTTCATCGAAACCGGAGGCTGGAAAAGGCCCCAGGTAGTAGGATCTGTCGCATCGAAGTCATTCTCCTCCTCCGCCCCCTTCCTGCCCTTGTTCCATCCTCTCATGCAAACCAAGATATGTGATTTTTTTTGACATTCCGCCAAATTGTGAAAACGGTTCTGTTTGATACTTTGAAATACCGTGAAATAAATAGTATTTTATCTGTTAATGGGGATATTATCTTGTATGGCTCGGAATTACCCTCGAACTGACTGAATTGCTTTGAAGTAATGCAAACATTTTCTCATTCACCAATCTGAAGTTAGGATATCATGAAAGAACTGAATTATTGTTCTTTAAGATTTGAAATGCACTGAGAGTGAGCTGTCACTCGCTCAAGCTTGAAGGTGTCTTCTTATCGCTTAGTAATTGAAGGTTGCAATTCACGGAGTAAGCACATTTGAGAGGGTCGTCACTATTCGTGTTGAGAAATTAGTAAATTATCTAAGTGTAACCACTACAACACCCCCCCCCCACACCATCCCTCCAAATCATGATTCCAAATAGGGAAGATAGGCGAGTTCATTGAAATGACCAAATTGGGTACAATTCCAAGAAGAATCCAATTCTGTTAGCTATTATTGACTTACGACTCTATTCATTAATTTATATCAAATGGAAGGCGTTTTGATAGTCATCAATAGCACTTTAGTTGACTTCAGGCTTCACAGAGGGGAAGGAACATCTGAGTGAAAAAGGCCGAGAGTGGGGAGGGGGTGGTATAGAAGAGTGTTTCAAAGATGTAAAAGAGACAGACACAAAGGTGGAAAACATCAAAGTGAAAAAAGTCGAGAGGGGGAGGGGGGGGGAACAAAAGAGTGTTTCAAAGATGTAAAAGAGACAGACACAAAGTTTGAAGAGTGTTTCAAAGATGTAAAAGAGACAGACACAAAGGTAGTGTTTCAAAGATGTAAAAGAGACAGACATAAAGGTAGAGAAAAGGTAAGATGAATACCGTGTTTCAAAGATGTAAAAGAGACAGACACAAAGGTATAAAAAAGGTGAGGCGAGTAATGTGGAAGTAGTCGAATATGACATACAATGGGGTCATGGTAGTTTGAAGTCAACTGCCAGTTAAAAGACTTTTTCCCGTATAAGCATACGTTGCCCAGGGTGCATCATGTGGAGGTAAGTCTATCGCACACCCCAACTTACGAATCTAAGTATCCACATAAAAGGTATCATTATACGCTCTAGCTTTGAATATTACGTCATTAGGATATATTAGAGCTCTTCCTATTGATATACCTTTGGGAGTTAATTTCACCATTAAACCATTACTAAGTAATTGTAAGTTAAAAAAGGAAATCAGTATTAGTGCTTCAAATACGATTAGCAGCGTTGTGTACACGAAGGTACCCACCAATTATGGAATAAACGGTGACAAGAATTATTCAATAAAAAGTAATCTCCTCGCGATTCCTTCCCCACATCCACCCGCCCCCCCCCTCCCCCTCTTCACTATCTCTCCAAAATCAATCATTCATGAAAACGGACACTAATGCAGCTGTCGCATATTCCTTTTTAATAAAGGATAGAATACTTCAATTCAAAAAGTACTGTTTTCCCTCCGTCCAACTTGTACTTTAAATCGATCGCGCACTTCCCATACTTACGATCAAATAAATTGAAACAAATATAATCGCATGGACTATGATTGAAAGTGGGGTGTGCGATCGACTTACTTCCACGTGGTGCCCCCTGGGCAACGTATAATCATACGGCAAAAGAGTCTATTAACGGGCAGTTGACTTCTGACTCCAAACTACCATCACCCCACAGCACGTCGTATTCCACTACTTCCACACTACTCATCTCATCTTACTTTTTTCTCTGCCTTTACGTCCATCTATCTCTTCAACATCTGTGAATCACTTTCTCTTCCCTCTCTCAACCTTTTGGGATTGATGTTCCTCCCCTCTGTGAAACCCAAAGTCAACTTAAGGACTAATGATGACTACCATCAAATCTGCCATTTGATAAAAATAAATATTACTTTACAGCGCACATTTGACTAACTTTTTGGAATTGAAAGTTGACGAGGCAAGTGCCACAGGCTATAAAGTCAAAATGTAAAATTGTGCTTAGAAGATCAAATATTACAATCATGATAGTAAACAACTAGTCTGGTGATATTTTTTATTGTGATCACTAGATATCGGAGATGAAATACATCACCTAGGCATTAATAAGAATGGTGGGTGATTTCGAGATCATCTGTCCACTTAGAGATGCACAAAATTGAACTTTAATATTTTAATTCGAGTTTTAAGGTGTCCTATCAGAAATAGGTTAAGATATCGATGCGGAGATCAGGTTGTCAAATCATACGCAATTAAATAAGCAGCTGTCCCAATGAGTTAGGTTGAGTAAAACAAGTGACCCATCAGTGACCCACCAGCTTACTGCAGGACGATGTAAAATCTGGATAATCTCAAAGAGTTAGTAGTAAAGAAGGAAAGTAAATTTAGTATAAGCCGACCAAGCGTGTTAGAAAAGTCTGGAACTTAGCTTCCACGGTCTCGATTAGTCTTGGAGGTCAAAACTAGCTTTACATGTTTATGCTCAAACCCTTGATATATTGGGAATTTTTCCCTAATTCCATTTAATCGATTCCAGCGAAGAATGGATTTCCTAGGCCAATAATGCTTCGAATGAAAATAAGGTATTAAACAGAAATGAGCCAAATTGTGTTAAGAATTGGTTTTGAATGAAAAAAAAATAAAGTGGAAACAACTGTCAGCATAAATAAACAGCCGGGATTTGACTTTCGATATGTAATGCACTCGACTTGTTGAGCTAGTATTTAATAAAGTTATGGGAAGCCCAAATTGATTATCCCTGCCATACTCCTAATTCGACCTTGATTATCAATACACTTTCCTCTTTTTAGATTTTGCCAACAGGTAATATTTAATTTCCACTTGCCATAAAATAACCTACCAAGCAACCTTGGATTCGTGTGTTCATTTTTTTCGGATGATCGAATGACTAAAGATCAATTAACTGGTTAATCCAAAGAATATTCTACAATATTCATTAATTTGCATAAGAAGGTGGATTGATTTTGAATGATTTCGTGATCATTCATATTTTGTCATGAAGGCGTGGCTGAAGGGCGAAATTTTTCGCTATCTTTAAAGTGAAAAGGTTAGTTTAGGTCGGTAATAAAGTAATTAGCAACCCATACCAACTGCTACTGTCATCTTCATTGGTCTTGGTTCTCATGATTTAAGTTTGAATCTCGCAAATCTCGAGGGGGGGGGGGGACGTATGTTCTGATCCATCTTCCCAGGAGGCTCGCACTCCCCAACGGGTCATTCTGAGTACAGGTCATGGTTCTTCCCTTCGACTATCAAGATTGCGGGCTTCAAGTCAGCAACATATCGCTGGCCTAAATCTAAACGCAACAGTGATTTTTCGGAAACTGAAATGTACAACAGCACTAATTCATCTTATAAAGCAAAATGGCAGGCGTTTTGATAGTTATCAATGGCCCTTTAATTGACTTTGGGCTTCACAGAGAGGAGGAGGAACAAAAACATGGTAAAAAGTCGAGTGGAGGGACAGAATAAAGATTAACAGATATGAAAGAGTAAGGCAGACACAAAGGCAGAGAAAAGGTAGGATGAGTACTGTGTAAGGGGTCGAATATGATATACCATTGGGTTATGGTAATTTGAAGTCGGAAGTTAACTGCCAGTTAATAGACTTTCTTCCCGTATGAGCATACGTGCCCAGGGTGCACAACGTGGTGGAGGTAAGTCCATCCCACACCCCCTCTCGTCGGATTTAATGGCAGGACATGTTATGATCTTATTAAACCCCAAAGGGTAAAACTCACCAATAACACGAGACTGAGCATACTTCTGTAATTTGCACTAAAATGCTCAAGTCAAAGATACTGCAGTTGAACACAAATACACTAGCATTTTGAATAATTGGCACTAGGTTGCCAATTTAATTTTTCTTGGGCAAAACTTACTCAATTTCATTTCACAGTACATAATACACGGTCTCCTTTGCTTTATATTTAACTAATTAGCTTCATTGTTGAGCAAAGTTGAAAGGAAGAAATTCTATTAGGTTGGCAACTAAGTCATTACCGATTTCAGATAAGAAGGCAAATTCGGAATTTTTGTTTAAAAATATAACTTTATTCAATTAGATATTGGCCGTTCTTGTCGATGACCTTTTTCCATCGTTCTGGCAGAGTAAAAATTCCCCGTTCGTAAAATGTCTGGTCTTTGCTATTAAAAAACTGAATTAGGTGTGATCCGACATCATCCGCGTTGTTAAAAATTTGACCATTTAAAGAGTTTTGCATGGAACGAAACAAATGGTAATCCGAAGGCGCAAGGTGAGGGCTATATGGTGGGTGTGACAAAACATCCCAACCCAGTTCCAATAATTTTTGCCGAGTAACCAAAGATGTGTGCGGGGGCCTTGCGTTATCATGATGGAAAACAACACCCTTCCGCCGATTTGATAATGCCGGCCGCTTATCTTCAATTGCATCCTTCAGTTTTTCGAGTTCTTCAACATACACATTTGAATTTATCGTTTGGTTCTGCGGCATGAGTTCAAAATACAAAATTCCTTTGTGATCCCCCCACCAGACTGACAGCATAATCTTTTTTTGGTGAATCTCTGCTTTTCATACTGTTTGGGCTGGTTGATCTTGCTTCACCCATGATCTCTTGCGAGTAACATTGTTATAAACTATCCACTTTTCGTCGCCAGTAACTAGGTTCTTCCTCGGAAATGGATCATTCTCATTGCGTTTCAGTAGCGAATCACAGTTGCTAATCAGTTGCGTCAAATGAATTTCCTTTAACTGGTGATGGATCCATAAATCAAGTTTCTTGACATAACCAAGGGTTTTTAATTTTTTTCAATGCATGTATGCGACACATTGAGCTTCTCTGCAATATCTCGTGTTGTGCTGTGACGATTTGAATCAACGATAATGGCCTTGATATGGGTTTCATCCACTTCGACTGGGCGGCCAGATCGTTGTGAATTTTTCAGTGAGAAATCACCGGAACGAAATCTTTCAAACCAATTTCGACACTGCCTCACGGCTTCATCTCCATATACAGCACATAACTTCTTTTGTGCTTGCGATGCGTTCTTGCCTTTTTGGAAGTAATACAATAAAATGTGTCGGAAGTGCACGTCCTGTTCTTTCATTTTTAAATTGAGATAAAAACAAAACTAAAGAACTAAACAAAAAATTTTTTACTAATTAACCTAGAAGCCCATACAGTAAGAAAAAAATATAGGTTAGATGCTCTGGCCACGTTAACAAAACAAAAGAAAGTATAGAGTGAATCCGTCAACAAAAACGGCAATGACTTAGTTGCCAATCCAATATTTTAGAATTAGTGACTTATTTAAACGCAATGTAATTGAAGTGTTCCATTTTAGGGGTTAGTTAGGACACAACGGGGTTTTCATCCAATTTTGATACATTTAGTCACAATTTCAAGCACTTGAACGAAATACCAATGACAAAGTTTTTGCTCGTTTTTCACTAAGTGATACTTGACTTACTTCTGTGGGACACGTCTCGCATGCGTGTAAACATAGGCTTGAGGTGCGTCCGTACAGCTTCGCGTACGGATTGAGGACAAGAGCACGCAGCCAATAGCAGCTCAAGGGCCCTCGTTTGTTTTACCGAAATCCGTCATGTTGTATGACTGAGTTCCTTCCTGTATACATTTCTTGCGTGGTTTATCTACCAAATAAACGTGCTCCGTGCTACACGTCTGTTTCCTTTTATAGCTGGGCTATAGCTTATCTGGTTCTGGGAGTCTAGCTAGATGTTGGAGAATCTGCCACAGTGATTTCTGAGTCGGTCAGGCTTTAATAAAGTAGCAATCCGCTACACTTCTTCTTTATTAAAACAAAAGTTATAAATTTGACCATCAAATTACATAGAATATTAAACCTAATTCAGCACCAACTGCAAGATCAGTTTGTAAAATATGCAACAAAATAATTTTTGTGTGTTTTAGTTAACAATGTTAAGTACACGCTTGTTGACAAACGCAAATACTGCTAACGGAAAATCAGCTGATGAAATGACCCAAAATGTTCATGGGGTAAAGATCACCTTCAAGAATTTTACAATTGATGCTAGATTCAATTGAACGCCTTACTGGAAAAATTATCTCTTAGTGTCTAACAATAGCACTAAATTTTCTGTTGGTATCGAAATCAAAGCTCTCTTAAACTCTGCTAGAAAATTTTAATTAGGTCCAGGCTCATTTTGCATGACCATGCTCCAACATAAAATGTCTTGCATTGAATTGTTATGAACGATTACCCTCTTACCTTTCTGACTTAGAATTAGCTTTTGAGCTCACAGGTATCAAGATGAAATAGAAGAAAGACTTACACAAGGCCATGCCGGTAAAAAAACGATCGTCACCGCAAGGAAGCCTCTATGATATGGCCAATTGTTTTTCAGACTCCAGGCTCAATGATTAATTCTGTAAAGAACTGCGTAACATAATGTTGCTAATTATTTATGAATATTAGCAGAAAAAATGTAGCAAATACATCGTCGGCAGCGACTCTGTAGGACACGTCATCGCATGCCTGCACGCCAGGATTGGGAGGTGCGACCGTACAAACAGTGACCAATCATTAACCTCTGTTTGTTTAACCTGATCCGCCATCCTGATCATGATTAAGCTTCCTGCGTGTACACTTTATCCGCGATATACGTACTGAATAAAGGTGCTCCGTGCTACACGTCTGTTTCCCTTATAGCTGGGCTATAGCTTAGCTGGTTCTGGGAGTCTAGCTAGATGTTGGAGAATCTGCCACAGAGATTTCTGAGTCAGTCAGGCTTAACTAAGGTAGCAATCCGCTACAACTCTAAGTACCCAGATTTGGCTGCATTAAGTTTAAAGCAGTGAAACGTTGGCTTAACCATCTTTAAATTTAAAATTGTTCAACTATTATCTGATTCATTGATTCATCTTTTAGGACCTCGAAAAAATTTATTCCACTCTAGACACTTCAATCCAATTTCTCAATGCCTACTTCGCTTGGACAGCTTCTCTCACTACAATTTAATAACTTTCTGTCTATGTGAACAATGTTGTCATGAACAAATATATTTGTTTTCAAAATAAATAAATTTTTGATCAAAATATATTCCAATGTTACTATGAGTAAATTCGGTCTCTTCAGTCATTATCGCTTTCCTTTCTCCTTAGTGGCCTGCTGACATCTGACAACTAATAGAGCATTATGATTTTGAATTCGACTTGATTTTCCTAATGATTTGCATCGTTTAAGGAAGTATTATATATACTTTAATTTTTGCCGTTGAAATTAACCCAAGCGCAAATATTACTGCTTTCGAAGGTCTAGGATACCTTAATTGCATATGATACATAATTAGAGCAATATTGTAAGAAAAATTAAAGGCACACAAATAAATGGGAAATGATAACATTCGGACTTTTAATCTCAAATAAATAAACGCATTTTTTGATTTTTCAATTTATAAAATCAACAATTGGTAAATTAAATATCAATCGAAATTTTAAATTGTACATAACCAAAAGTCTTTCAAAAAGGGGATTTATAATACAAATTGTTCATTGATTCTACATTGTAAAAGCTTTTATATGACCAAAAACTTATATAAGTCAAGGGCTACATTTTGCCTTATTTAGCCTCTTTGCTTTACTGACCAGGGTAGTCCTGCAATGTGGCGCCACTTAATAAGGTAATTTTTATAGCATTAGTTAAATCCTAGAGTTATTATGAGTTCTCCTGATATCGAGAAAAAGTTACTTCCGGAGTTATCGAGGCATCCCATCATCCGCGGAGCTGCCCGGAACCTTGTCAAGGTTTTCAATACAACAAAGTCATATTGTTAGCAATATGTTGCATTTCTATTGCATATTTATTAGTTGATAGAGCGATAACTGAATCGCCACGGCCCTCATCGAATTTCAATGATTTCAAAAAGCAGGTTACCGATGAATTCAGAAAGGGTCTTTCACAGAAGTGACACTTATGTGGGTTTAAACTGTTCTCTATCAATAATTGGTGGTTCTTTTCTTTGTACTTACAGAACTTCGGTTACAATCGACACGTAGATACATCATTAAATATTTTTTCTATTATTTCATTCCGCGCTTGCCTCTGTATTCACAATAAACCTCTCACTGAAAATTGTTTCTATTTTCTTTTGCTATCATAGATTAATTGTAACTAAAGCACATTTTCTTGCTTAAATACTGCACGAGCAGTTAGGTTCGTCTATGGGCTGATTGCCCTACTCCATTGACACTAATCTGGTTAGTTTTGTCCTTGATTTCCCCTTATTATTATTATTATCTTCCTTAAATATGTCTCATTCTCGGAATGCGGGCCAGTAAATATCAAGCTTTATAATAATACTACTCGGTGCCCGTTACGCCACAATCTCCATGCCATTAACAATTAGATACTCTAATTGTCAAATTTTATTCCAATGATAACGAAACAGTATATACAGAAAACGATTAGCAAATCACCATCTTCTTGGACGTTTACTTGGAGGAATTTGGTGGGAAGGAGGGCCCCCATAACCAGGTGGGGGACCATTGTAGCCTCCTGGTGGTGGTGGCCCAGCCCATTGTTGATCACCAAATGGTGGGGGTCTACCACCGCCGAATTGTTGCATCGGTGGCAGTGATGGCCTTCGGAATCCCATTGGTGGCCCATTTCTATAACCCATTCCTGGGGGAGGTCCTCCCATAAATCTCTGTGATGGTGTGGGCGGGCCAAATCTCGCAGCCATCTGAGGTGGCGGTGGTTGGTTTGGGGGAATGGGAATGGGTGGTTGTTGTACTAGTGGTGGAAGCGTCGTCTCCACTCCCGGTCCACCTTGAGAAACTGATACGACCGATGGGTCAATGGGAATCGGAGGTTGTTGTGCGGAATTTGGAGAGGGAGGCATGAGAGAATTTGCAAATGCTAGCATCTCCTCTTCTCTCACTGCAGAATCAAAAGTACGTGACTTGAATCGTCCGGGGGTGGTATCATACTCCTCAATCTCACTAGCAGACGCCTTTGCCTTGGGGTTCATACACATGTCGGAGGTGACAAGAGGGGTAGCGACTATCTTTGACGTGTCTATCACTCCGCCTTGAACTGTTTTCTCCTCCAAACCGCCTTCAGCTGCTCGAGCTTTGGCTGCAGCAAGTGCAGCAAGAACTATACCAGGTTTGCCGAGATTTCGAGAGCTGGACCAATTGGCCACGAACTCCTTAGAAATCGACCCAACGGGCTTTGTGGGAACTACGCGGTTTTTCGCGGACTCCTCCTCATCCGAATCTTCGTCTCTAGGATAATTGATCCCGGCCAGATCATCTTCCAGTCCCGGTATTTCTATAACTGGATCTACAATGCATTCAAATGCTAATCGCTCCTTGGCTTCGTTCTTCTCCTTCTCCGTAATCTGGCTCGAGAGAGTTTCAATAATATCAGGAGAACTGAAATCTTTTATGCCATCACCTGGACGATCACGAGTCCAGAATTTTCTGCCAAGAGAAAAAGCAAAGTACGCACAATGAAGGCCTTATAACAATTAATTTTCTCAATATTTCTACCTTGCTATACTAATGTATATCGATTGCAAATTATTGCCCATTCGTCTACCATCACAAGAATTCACATATGGGTGATTCCTAATGAACTAATACATAAATTACTTGATACTCAAGTATAAACTTTGTGATACGCATGGAATTTTTACTGTAGCGTTGCAGTTGATATCCAAAACCTTCGAAACTGCGAACATCTGCAATGGTCTCAACAAAATTACCTGTCCCTCGATAAAACGTATTTTCTCTTTTCCAAAGGCACTGTTCAGTGGATTTGCATTGTACAAGCCTCTGCACAACCACCTATCAGCACAAATATGGAAGAGGAAATCAGTTCTATTAGAGAATAACAGTTCTCGGTGCTGTCGTTGCAGCTATCGGAACACAAATTCCACACAAAAAAACAAATGTGAATGTTTCTATATCGCTGTGAGGTGATTGTTTGGGGCGTTATAGAAAACGTCTGAAGACCTTTATAGTGCATCTAATATTCTCTTTATCGCTTGTGTTGCTATTCACCTCGCCACAATGCTAATTGACTGCTATTACCCCTCTCGAGAAGAGGAGCTCGCCTAAGAAAAACCCTTAAATTACACCCCTAGATTGTTGGCCACTCGATTACACATTAGAATAGTGGTCAGTCAACCACTCAAATTATCGTGACTAGAAGAGAGAGACTCATTCTTTTTGAGGGCATTTCGAAGTAAAAAGATTTTCTGTCTGGCCTCTGAGTAGTAGCAGAGAGTAAAACAGCGTCTCTTGATAATTTAGTAATATAACTTAAACGATTTCAATGGCACGATGCGAAAAGCTAACATTCTTAGATCACTTCAAAGTAGAACAGTGTCAGCGATGGGAACTTACGTTGAGAAGTCATTGCCACCCGAGACCAGGATATGTCCGAGAGGGTGCCACGCAAGACTCCAGATCATGTTGTCATGTGCGTCATCGATCACACCAAGCTCTGTCTCATTTCCAGCGCACCAAAAATGGATAGCACCATCTCCACTACCTGAAGCAAAGAGGTTCTCATGAACTGGATGCCAGACAATTCGTGTGACCTCCTTCTTGTGTCCACGGAATGTCTGCAACTCGTCTTTCATGAACCGCAAATCGAAAAGTTTGATCAGGTGGTCACGTGAAGCTGTTAAGAACCAGTTGCCATTCATGTTCCAGGCTACATCTGTACAGGTATTTTTGTGGGCATATCTTCAAGAAACAGAAATTAATGGTTTAATGCAAGCTGAAAGCATAAGTTGCTTAAATAGCAAATATGTAGTTGATAGCACATTTACACACGTTCTAATGGGCATACTTGCTGCGAATAAAGGAAGAAATTAGTGAAAGATGAATTAGTATACAATTTAACTAAATAAATTAACAAGACGGAGGATTTTTACATTGCGCAAGACTAACCCTATCCTACTTGCTCTTGGCCATAAGAAGAATTCAATAAGTCGTGATATGACCATTGATGGAACTAAACCAATTAATCAGCTAATTGAATTTGTTTGGAGCAATCGTCCTCTTTGTCCACCACTGACACAAGTATTAGTCAGCCAGAATAGTTTATCGTCTATTAGATATCCTATTCAGAAAAAGTTTTGGATTTGCAGCTCTTCTTTTAGAGGACTAAGTGGTCAAAATGTTATAGCGACAACTGAACAGTATGAAAAAGAACCGTCCTTAGAACACAATTGAATGTGTTATCACAATACTAGTATACTGCTTATTGGTAGACAACTCTCTCATTGAATAAAAAGGAATTCACGATAGAAAATGCCTTCCGAGAGTGGAATAGTGCCATCAATAGCCAAAGAAAGTACGATGACCACCAGGTTCAAGGCTTTTAGAATAGCCGGTCAAATGCCAAAGTGCGTTTCATTACCCAACCGATGGCAGAAATTGACGTAAAGTAAATTCATTAGAGTTGTATAGTATTGAAAACGCTAATCACACTATCAAAACTTACAGTGTGGTAATAGCTTCACCAGTTTTTGGGTCCCAGAGTTTGATAGGTTGTTGGGCGTCTTTACTTCCGGAAATAACGAGGGATTTATAGGGGTGCCAAGCAATGCTGCGAACATCCGAACCATGTCCTCTCAACGCTCTCTCCTCTATGCACTGCGCAAAGTCCCATACTCGCACAGTTGCATCATCACTGCACGTCACGAACTTGTCATCGAATGGAGAAAAACTAAACGGATAAAAAGACATGCCACCAAAAAAACAATTCGAAACTGTGTACTCACAAAGAACTACTTGTGATAACACGTAATCAAAGAAGTTTTGTGAAAACACGATCGCAAAAAAACGTTCACAAAACTTGGCTTAAGTAGAGAAAAGATAATCTGTGACTACCCCTTTATGAAACTCACATTCCACCATTTTTGTTGCCTAACAGAACCAACTGGGTGTGCATAGAATAGCAAATTGGCAGACGTAAGCTGACCACTTAACAATTTACTTGAACGAGCTGCTAATGTATCAACAAGACAATGACTACACAAAATAGTAAAAGATCCAAGCTAAACTCGAGTAAGTCATTATTGCAATTGCGATCTTAGAACAATGAAATGCAATAGAACCCCAAGCATGCGAGAATAAACATTCTACCCTCTCAGAAATATTTCAGCCTCATTTTCTTACTACACTCCAAATAGCAAAACATCGATTAGAAGAGCACATTACAAACTAAGTGGTTCGAACAAATAAGAAAGTAAATTACAGATGCCAACATACCTAACACCACGAATAGGCATCTTGTGGGCTTGATAAGCTTGCACATTGTTCATATTCTCTTGCCAATATTTCACATAACCAGCATGATCAGCCGTTAGAAGCCAATCATCATTATGTGACCACTTCATACATCGAATTTGAGACTCGTGAGCCTGAAGTATCGTCTCAAAGTTAAATGTAAGTCCATTCCAGAGTGTAAATTCGCCAGTAAAGGCACCAGTTATTAATCGCCTACCCTCAGGGGTCCACTAAATTACCTTGTTAGAAAATTTACAAAACATAACATACACAGACACAATAGATTGGACATTTATTTTTGTTAGTAGAAGTCCTCACTAACTTTCCGGTTACACTGTTAACCGGATTATCCAGGTAGTCAATAGGAGCACTTAACTGAAGCGAAAATAGAGCAAATATTCAACTGTTTTACAGAGCTAAGTACATGAAAGAAATCTAATGACATACCAAATGATTGTATAGATAATCTGGCTGAATGGCAATTTGGTGTCTTGGTGATGATTGCCAAATTCTATTTCGAAGATAATTCATAATTGATGCATTATAATCAATCGTTCTTCTAAAAACGGCCTTACGAACACGACGAGCATCAGGGCCGAGGGCTTTTGGTTGATTATCAAATATACTTAGCTGATCTGTGTTCATAATCTATTAAAAAATGAAAGTAAAAGTGCCAGATAACTAACAAAATTTCTAGTAAATACGGTAAATTAAACCACCAGGAAAACGAGTCCAGTTCACAGGACAGGCACCTCAAGGTCCTATTTATTTATTCCGCTGAAAGCTTTTTTAAAGACAAATACAAATGCCAATCAGGTATTATTTTGGTGTATTATAGTATATAACGCATTAATAAAAAACAAAAAATTACAAAACGCTATACTAGTTAATATTACTATCTAAGCCTTCCTGTACCTTCTTCTTGTCTTAATCTCTCTTTGTGGTTTCCAAGGTCATAACATCGATTACTTAGGACTATAGAGTTGCAATGCTAAATCTCACAAAGAATTCATTTATGTTTTTTTTAATTTGACTTCAAAATTTTAATAAATATGGGGTACTAACAGCCAAAGCGTTAAATTCTTTATGAGATAAGATAATGTCGTTAAAGGAAACTGTGTTTAAGTTCATCATTGTCTGAAAACTGCCTAATCAAAAGAAAGAGTTTCAGTATTTTTGAAACTGTAAAGCAATTTGGCAACGGGATATGTAAAGTCTTAAACAGAGAATGGATATAGATATTATTTCAGCTTATACATTTCATTAAGTTGCGGATACAAGATACCAAGTGAGTTTGGATAGAGAAGTTCACTTAACATTATTTACTAAATAAGCGTAACCACAATCGGCCCAAATTTATTAACATTTAAATACAAACCAAATGATATAATAGGTTTATTTATATCGAATGAGAGCCTTTATGATGGCTATCATTAGCCCTTTAATTGACTTCCTGATTCACAGAGGAGAGGATCATCAGTGCCACAAAAAGTGAAGAGAGGGAGCAGAAGAGTTATTCGTAGTTGTAAAAGAGACAGACAGACGCAATGGTAGAGAAAAGGGTAAGGTAAGTTGTGGGGAAGTGATCGGATTTAACATAGACTTGTTATGGTGATTGTAAGTCAACTGTCAGTTTATAGACTTTTTGCCCAAGGTTCACCACGATGAGGTAAGTTCATTGCATATCCTATAATAGTATATATATATATATATATATATATTCCAAAAAAGAAGCATATTGACTGAAAGTTGTGATATGTATTAAACAAAAATCATGGTGTCACAATAAAGTGCGGTATGACACAATTAAACTCTATCATATGCTCAGAAATCTCTATGGCAAGGTCACCAGTTTTAAAGGCCCCAAGGTTTAATTAATCTACCTCAAAGCTATAGAGAAAATATACAAATGTGGAATATGTTTAATTTGGTCGTGTCTGTCACAGAGCTTAGTCAGTAAATATAATAAAGGTTTTTTAGACACTTCAGTAACGAGTGATCGGTGGCCGTCTGAGAGGTCCTTGCACTCACATGGCAAGAAGCACTGTCACACAATGGAGTGCGTCTGAGCGTGCGTCAGATTACTTTGTTTACCGGCTCTGTGTACTCTCAGACAGCATTAATCTTCGCGTAATATGGATTTAAATTGCTCAGAGAGAAGGATGTCGTGTTTGTTGAAACATTTTCGTATTTCGTCTTAATCACCCTGCATTTGCCTATTAGTTTCATAACCTACACCAATTAAAAGTCCAATTTTTTAATAACTGCCATCTGGAGCGGATTTTTAATCGCCACAAAATTAAGAGTCTAATTCCTACTTCCAACTCAAAATCTTAAAACAAAAAATATTATTCATTAGACATTTTTTGAAATTATCTTGATTTTATTCAAGGCAACTACCCATCTCTGATTATTATAATGCAGTAGCTTACGCTAATTGAATCATTTATTTATATCAAACGGCAAGCTAACGGACTAATGACGAAAATTCGAGAGGGAACAGAAGAGTGATTCACAGATGCAAAAAGACAGACAGACACAAGTGCAGAGAAGAAAGAGAAGTGAGTACTGTGGGACCATTGTCGTTTGTAGTCAGAAGTTAACTGACATTTAATGGACTTTTTGTCGTTTGAGTGTACATTGCCCAGATTGCACCATGTGGAGTTAAATCTATCGTACACTCTCTAATTGAATAATAGGGCTGTTTCTTTACAGTTTATTAAAAACAAGCAATAGAGGCTATTTTTAATGCGATCTAAAATATATGATACAAATCGATGAGTTTATAACAGAAATTTACATTGAAAGGAATGCCAACGCTAAGCTTTGTTGAATACTTTAGATTTCTTATAGGTCATTTTAGTAATTACATTTCTTTTAATTACATGAAATATCCATGCAAAATAATTAATAATTAATCCTACTTAACAAAGCCAATCTTGTAAAAAAGCCTTTATTTTAAGCTAAAAACATGTAAAACATAGGTTATTTTACAATAAAGTAATTGATCAAATCTGTTTAACGAATTTCTGTAACCCCGCCAACTCTGAAAAAACTATATTAGTCATTAGCACAATGGCCACTGATGTTGCTAAGGCTATTCCCGAAGATTCCGAATCTAAGCTTACGAAAGATAAGGAGACCAGTGATGAAGATTTGGTAGCTTAAAATTACATTTCTTATTTTCATAGAGTGAAGAGGATAGACAATTACGAGATGAACTGTATATGCTCTTACAGCGTCTCGAAGAAACAAATACGAAGTTATATGACCCAGCTTTGGAAAGCCTTAAAACTCTTATAAAGTCATCTACTACATCAATGACATCTGTTCCGAAGCCTCTTAAATTTCTTCGGCCACAATATGAACGCATTAAGGCTGTTTATGAAAAAATTGAAAATGAAAATACGAAGGTATATCAAATTTAGAATTAGTAATATTCCTTTAGGCTAGCTGTGCCGAAGTGATCTCTGTTGTTGGAATGGTCATGTATGATAATCCGGAATTTAAGACGGATACTTTAAAGTATCGGTTGCTGAGTAAAAATGACGAAATCGGAATTTGGGGTCATGAATACGTCCGTCTCCTCACTAAACAAATTGTTGAAGTATGGGATGAAATCGATATCGGCGAAGCTGACGAGTCTACACAAGCGACTGAGAAACAGAAGGAGGAATACTTGGAGTTGGTTGAAAAAATCCTTCCCTATTTAATGGATCATAATGCTGAGTCTGAAGCTATTGATTTATGCATGGAGATTGAACGCTTAGAATATCTCGAAAAGTACACAACGGAGTTAAACTTCCAACGAGTGTGTCTCTACCTTATCGGTTGTGCGTCTTACATTCCCGATCCTGAGAACGCCAAAGTTTATCGATGTGCTCAGAGTATCTACAGGAAATATAAGGATCTCGGTAATGCCTTGCGTTATGCTCTTAGGTTAAATGACGAAGCTTTGGCCCGATCCATCTTTAACGAAGCTGCCTCTCTTCCTACATCTAAGTATGGCGCATCTGGTAATCTTGTTCGCCGACAGTTGGCTTATCTCCTTGGAAAGCACCAATTCATTGTGCCTTATGAGGAAGTCTTGGTAGAAGAGGACGAGGATTTAGCAGAGATGCTGGGAAATACTCGTCTCTCTGAGCATTTCTTGTCTTTAGCTAGAGAACTTGATATTATGGAGCCGAAGGTGTGTAAATTAAATGGCCTCTCATATCTACGATTTAAATGAAGAAATGTGTTTAATTTCTCCTTTATTGTTACAGCTCCCTGAAGATGTATATAAACAACATTTGGAACCTGTGCGTTTGACAATGACTGCAATGATGGATTCAGTGCGCACCCATACAGCGGCATCATACGTTAATGGTTTAGTCAATTGTGGATTTGGTCAGGAAAAAATGATTCAAGAAGACGTAACAGATCCTAATTGGTTAACTCGTCAAAAAGAACTTGGTGCGTTCACAGTAGATTCTTTAAAACTTCCCCTTTACCCTGTTCTAATATCGTGTTAATTTTTAGGAAAAATGACTGCTGTTGCTTCACTTGGTTGGGTTATGTTGTGGGATGTTGACACCGGTCTCTCCCAAATCGATAAGTACCTCTATGCAGTTGACGATTATACTCAAGCCGGTGCTCTTCTAGGTTGTGGTATTGTCAATTGTGGTGTGAAAAATGAGTGTGATCCAGCTCTCGCTCTTCTTTCCGCTTATGTGGAACATCAGACAGATGTCCTCTCACGAGCAGCTATTATCGGTATCGGTGTGGCATATGCTGGTTCCAATAAAGCGGAATCTATCAATCACCTTCTTCCTGCTATTCTCGATTCCTCATCAAGTCGCCTTCAGCACGCCTGCTTGGCTGCACTCTCAGCAGGTATGATTGCTGTTGGTTCTTTAAATGCAGAAGTTACTTCCACAATTCTTCAAACCATGTTGGAAAGGCCTGCTTCTCATTGGAATAACACTTTCAGCAAGTTCATGGCCTTGGGGTTGGCTCTCACTTGTTTGGGAAGACAAGAGGAGGCCGAAGCGATTTTAGCCTCTCTTGAAGCTGTTACTGAACCAATGAAATCTATGGCACATATGATGTGCGATGTGTGCGCTTATGCCTGTAGTGGTAATGTGCTGAAGATTCAAAAACTCTTGCACGTTCTTTCCGAAAAATATGAGGAGAAGTCAGACAAGGTAGACAAAGCAAAAGCCACAATGGCCGAAAAAGCGAAGGCCAAAGATCATCACCATCACAAAAAGGATGCCCGCCGTGGTGGTAGCACTGGTAGCAGTAGTGGTCGTAGAACTCGTAGACATGCGAATTCAACTGGAAGCAAAACTTCAGATTCGCCGTCAGCAGAAGAGCCTATGCAAGTTGATGAACAGCCTGCATCAACGAATGAAGATTCAAGCCCACCGGGATTTGATTATCATGCTCATCAGGGTTTGGCGGTTCTTGGTGTTGCGATAATCGCTATGGGCGAGGAAGTCGGTCTAGACATGGCTTTCCGTATGTTTGGGCATCTGGTAGGTTCCCTTATCCGTAAATGCAGTCAAGATACGTCTTCATTCCATAGTTTGACTTTATTTTTTTTGCCTATAGCTTCGTTTTGGTGAAACACCCATTAAGAGGATTGTACCGTTGGCGCTGGCTCTCTGTTATGTCTCAAACCCCCAGCTCAAAGTTTTAGATACTTTGAGCAAATTCAGTCATGATTCGGATGCTGAGTTGTGCTTTAATTCAATCTTGGCCATGGGAATTGTTGGAGCAGGTAAGATATTCTTTTACGTTCCTTTTTCCCTAATGTTTGCTCCACAACTGATTTGTGTATTTATTAATTATTAAGGTACAAATAACGCTAGATTGGCTGCTATGCTTCGCCAATTGGCAAGCTATCACTGCCGTGATCCTTACAACTTGTTTTTGGTTCGTCTTGCCCAAGGATTGACATATTTGGGTAAGGGCACACTCACTCTTTCCCCTTGGCATTCCGATCATGGCCTGTTCCGACCTGTGAGTTTAGCTGGTCTTCTTACGCTCCTCGTATCATGCTTGGAAATGCGTTTGACTTTCATGGGTCGTAGTGATTACCTCATTTTCTACCTGACTCCTGCCATCCAACCACGTTTGTTGATGACATTTGACAAGGATTTGAAGCCTCTGGCTGTCACGGTTCGTGTTGGACAGGCGGTAGATGTTGTTGGTCAAGCTGGACGACCGAAAACGATTACAGGTTTCCAAACCCATACAACACCCGTTCTCCTTGCCCATGGAGAACGTGCAGAGCTGGCAACAGATGAATATGTACCAGTTACAAATCTACCCCTTGAGGGCTTTGTTATACTTACAAAAAATCCGTCGTACGAGAAGCCTGCGGTGTAAAATCTTTGCGAATTTACGTTGTAATTTCATCCTTTGATTGAGGCCTGCTCTACGATTACGGTGTCCTCGTTTGTCAACCTCCCCTTTCCCTATACTATAATAATAACTTTCTGCTTATATCTGTTTTCTTTGTCTTTATGGTGTTTTATTCTGTTGGTATGTGTATATAAAAGCCAAAAGGTGTTATGCAGGCAGTTTGGGTTGATTCCGCTAACTTGACCCTGAAATTCTTGGTCTTTAGATAGACGATCTAACTTACCTAATTCCTAGAAAGCTTTATTTATTTCAAATGATGGACGTTGTGATAGTTATCATTGGCCATTCAGATGACTTCGGGCTTCACAGACAGGAGGAGGAACATCAAAATGACTAAAGGTAGACGGGGGGGGGGATAGAAAAATGATTCACAGTTGTAAAGGAGTCAGACATACACAAAGACAGAGTAAAGATAAGATGAATATTGTGGAAGGGGTCAAATATGACATACAGTGGGGTCATAGTAGTTTGGAGTCAGAAAGCAATTGCCAGTTAATAGACTATTTTGCCGTATGTGTATACATTCCCAGGGTGCACCACGTGGAGGTAAGTCTATTGCACACCCCATTCATAGAAAGTAAAAAAATATTTCGATTCTCAATTAAATATAAAAATACTACCTTTAGTAAATGAGTGTCTATGGTTGTATCAGTTGACTAATATCTCTAGTTTTAACGCACTAAATATATTGCCGCTAATCTCATTGAAGGTCTCATATATAGGTTGTTACCTTTGCGATTGTAGTTTTTTAAACTAGTTTACTTTTATTCGTGACATAAATATTCATCTAAAAATGAAAGGTCATGATGAATGTAAAATTTGTAAAATTTTGTTTGAAAGCGAATTGGTAAGTCCTCTGGCAAATTTATTCTATCATTAATTGATTTTAGGCCGCCATAAATCACATGCTTTGTGTGGAGCATCACAAACGCTATGAGAGTGTGCAGAAAGAATCGGGAAAACCAATGTACGCATTATAGTCTTTTGGGACTTTTTAGATCCCATTTTTGTCCAGTTTGCGGAGTTGGTAATATACCAAATTTAGATTTGTGGATCGTGCATTTACGCTCTGCACTGCACAAGACGAATTTAGATCAATACATACAAATTTTTTATGCACAGTAAGTATTTTTATTTATTTTTGTAATCTTCAATTAGAAAAACGGTTTTAGATCAATCGAAGTCCCAGAATGTGTCTGAAAATAGACTGTCCCATTTGAATAAAATTGGTAATTGATCACTACCATGCCATTGATTTGTGTTCTGTATGATTATTTATGTTTATTATTCTTATTTAAATGCATATTTTATCCATCATAGTGCGTATGCTCTGCATGTCTACTATGTTCATCCTGTCAGACAGTGATTTTTCTCGATGTGCCTATCTGTCATTTTATTAATTCTAGCTTTTTTGCTTATAATTTGTGTTTTGAGATGTTCCGATACGAGGTTCATATCATTTCGTGTTAAAAGCTGCATTATGCCTATGTTTACCTCTATATATTTGGACTGCGTATTTACCTACTTATTTAAAATATTTTCTTTATTTAAACGTTAAGTCAACGAAACGTCCTTTTATTTAGATCCAAAATCTCGTAAAAGGGGGGATTATGGATTGAATCAATCTCAACAGTCGGATATTCGTGAGTTTTACTTTTTTATTCAAAATTCTGTATCATTTTATATTAGTAGAAAATATAAACAGAAGTGGTAGTTGAATTGGTTATTTTTTAATAATTTCATGTTTTCATATTTATACGGCTTAAATCAATCAGAAATTTGTTTTTACTTTTATGGTTCATTTCCTGTTAGGTGGTTAAGATAACTTATTTTTGAATCCGACTACTACGGCTCATATAATCAATTGATGTTGCATCTCCCAGTGGATTACTATTCACTACAGATAACGATATGCTGTGGTATATTATCTGCTTTGCAGTTCCATTCGTCTTTTTTGGTTTGTTCTCTCAGTAAATTTGTTCTTATTCTCCAAATTATCGCAATGAAATCCATTTGACCGTATCCTCCTGGAAATCACGACACTAGTTAAAAGCTCCTTTTTTTGAAGTATTAAAGTGGCGCTTAGTGATACGTGAAAAGTTAGATGTGTATTCTCGCTGACTGGTTATTATTTCGTGGCGGCGTAGCTTGAGCCCTTGTCAAATGAACGATGACGAGATAAATACTCTTTAATGTTTTGGCATGACCTACTGGATTAGTTCATTTTGGTTCATGATAATCGAGTTTCCCATAAGTGAAGTTTTGGATACGTTCTTCTCAAATCAAATGCCTCAAATAATTAACTTGAACACCTCTTTTTACGTGACCGATTATTGGTTCTACCCTGGCGAGAGGAAAATAACCTTCTTATTTATTTTGTGTATATCACATGACAATTTCATTTTAGGCTCTAACTGACTCAGAAATTTTTGTCTTTTATGAATAATGATCAGTGGTGAATTCCAATTTCCTTTCTTTACCATTCTTAGGCTTTGCAATTTGGTATCTTACTAAGTGGCTAAGTGACGGGAAAGTAATTTCGGTAAATATTTCTTAATCTTTATTTTACTTTGATTACCCATTCTGCAGATCGTTTTTTTAAAATTTAAGTACTAGTTGCTCGTTATTAATACTCATCTGTAAGTTGCAGCGAATTGTTTCACTATTAAGTCATGACTATACCCAGTAATCCCTATGGCTAACTCCCCTATGTTTGGAAAGACTCCCAGAACTAGCTGATCTACCGCAAAGCTATGGTGGAAAATGACGCATGGCGTGGACCATGTCTATTTGGGCTGTGTTACTGACGGGGAGCTTAATCATTATGGCTGGTTTGCTAAACCTAGCAGGGGCTGTTGGTTGTGGGAAGGGGTGGGGGTGGGGGGTGGGTCTCCGCTCTCATGCCGCACTTACTCCCTCTGCGAAGTAGCACAGCCACATCTTCACTCCTGTCTGAGTGCCCATGAGATTTTTTCCGTGCAGTGGTGACCACGTCTTGTGCTTCACAAAATCAGACGTCGAGGCTACGATAATCACCCGAATGTTGGAATAACTTATTTGTTAATAAAGATCAAATCCTGAGTATTTTTCGATGCTAATGAGTGTTGAAAGTACTCACCTTCAATGGGGTTGTGTATATTCAATGCTTAATATATATTAAATTTTTAAAAATGAACAACTTTGTTCCTTAATGGTCTAGTATCAACTGTTGTGATTTGTCCCTTCTATAGCTGCGTGGATACAGATGGATTTCTAAGCGGTTTCGTTTTGTGCTTCTAACAGTCACACTGTCTTGTTAAACCAATTATCCAGCTAAGCTACATCTGTTTTCCTTCGATATTTAGCAAGAAAAATCACCAGTATGACAGAATCGACGAAACTCTCAACTTCTTCAAAACACTTTCGAACGCATTCTTAATTTTGTCATTTATCTGTTCGATGTTGCTGTCTTTCTCATTCACTGGTGACTTATGGTGTCCAAGTTTGATAAGGTAATTATCCATCTATTTGGAAAATGAATTTTCCCCATCAGATTCGACGTGTATTCACACAGTTTCGTCTTTCTCTATTGCTAACGGCCATTTGACAGACCGGTTTTGGGCGAAACTTTCAATTTCTTTGATAGGGAGTACCTAGGTACAAGTAGTCAACGCATTCAAGAGATATGAGGTAATATCTATCTTCAATCATATTCTACATGCTGTATTTAGTTGTAGTTAAAATTCTATCAATTGAGTACTTGGTATATGTTATTTTCTATCCTTTAATGCTGGCATAACACGAGATGTCTCTGCGATTGAGCTACTAATCGTAAAAACTTAGATGCTTCGGCACCCAACCATCCCATTCCATTGAATTGCCAAACTCATTTGCTTGATTACGCCAATTCAAGTAACTCACAAAGGATCTGCACTTCACGTACTTTTAACTATCAAACAAACAAGAGAGATTTTCTTCTTATTCTCTCTCTCTCTCTGTGTCTTAAATGTACGACTGGACAGGCCGTATAAATTCGAGAAAACACCGAGAAAATGATGAGTTGCACATCACCACCTGGTTACTCTATATCCCAACACTTATTTGTTAAATAATAATAATAATAATGCAATCTTTGTCACATCCACTTGTCACTTTTTAAGACCTCAACTAACTAGATCCTACGTTGCATAATGACTAAATTTTTGCCCTTTGTAGTGGTCGTGAATTCAGCGAATGGCTCTGTTTATATATAATGAAATACTTGGTATATGTTATTGGTTGTCTGATTATCCGATAATTGTTTGATGAGTCGTAGGAGTTTCACTCGCGAGCACGGATAATGTTCGTTTTGGATATCTGTCATTTTTAGTTATCAATGGTTATAATAAAAATTTTTTTCTTCAGTTGGATCTATCTCATTGATTGGCGAGGCAATGTTGTTTAAAGTTGCTATCTCTTATCCTCTGATCTTCTGTCTTGAGGTATTAGTTCCTCAAGTTTAGTTTTGCTGTTAGCCATTTTGATAGTCTGTTCGACAAGTAAGGGAAATGCTTGTCAATTTTTTTTTTCGACGAATATCTGCGTGTCTGTCATTTCCCGGTTGTCCACTTTTTTGGCTGTTGAGATCAGAGGTTTATTCGAGGAGTTATTACTCTTGGAGGAAAAGATATATATATATACCAATCTGCTACTTTATAGCTGATAATCGAGGAGATATTTCCGCCGTTAACTCCTCACGTCGCGCCACCAGGGAAACCAGAGAAGGTTATACTTCCCGACACCACCCGAATTCGATATATCCTCCACAGCCCTCTAGTTTCGGCAGGAGTCACCCACTTCTCTATGCTGACCAAACCCCGCCTATTTTTCGCCCTCCACCATCATCACTTCACCCCTCGGGTGAACAGTTTCATAATCGTGAAAGACGAATTGAGGATAGATACGGACACCCTATTGGTCGTGAACGAGATGAGGGAAGAGAGATG